TATAGAACTAATGAATAATATTGATTTTTTCCTTTTTTTATTTCAGATAGTGTTATATGACATCAAATGGAAAGTAAATTTTTATAATTTACTTATAATATTTTATAATTAAATTCTTCCTTACCACTCCTTTTCCTTAGGTTTCTTTAGTGTCACATTTCCGTCAGGCACTCTGTTATCACTTCCATAAGAGGAACTGTCATCCGTAGGGTACACACTATCAAGAGTGATCGCTCCAACACTCCCTAGAGATTGGGTACGAACTAACTGTCCATTATCTTGAGACCTGCGGTTTATTATCTGAAAATGAATTTTTCCTTCAAGTTTGGAACAAGTCAGAAAAACAAATTTCAGAGAATCATATATATAGACAAAACCACAATTTGCAAACTATTTCATAAAGATCTGATAATATTTTCATCGAGTGTCAGTCAATTCCATCAAACAATTCATGAAGATACTATGAAAACAAAATATATTGCGAGAAACATTTAGCATCATCTAAAGATTTGAAGTATTGAAATGGGGGGGTTAAAACTGCATTATTTTGCAAAAAAGAAACATGATTTGTTAGAATTGTGAAAATAATTATCGATTCTTGAAGGATTAATGAGACAAACCTTCGACGTTTTTACAGAACTTCGTCCTTGGCCGTGATAATTAGGTACTGTGGAGATAGTTGCAGATTTGTTTTCTAAGTTGGGTGAGATCCTACTAGCTTTTTTCGTTTTCCTTCTATCCAAACTACCAAACCTTAAAATATGAGAAATATAGTGGAGTTTAGTCATAACAGGGCACAAAATCATTACTTGCATTAATAATCGAGATTTTCAAAATGATAGTTCAGTTATCTGATAAGCAATCCATTTGTTTATAACATTGTTATACAGCGAAAATGAAAAAAAATCAATGTAACTGTCATTATTAGACATTTGAAAAATAAATTGTTCAATACTTCACTTATGTTTTTGATTATCTGAGGTTATAGATTGTTCATAAACGAAAATTTTTCAAATATTTCCAGCAATCTTTTCTGAAGCCTTCAAATAATAGCTCCAAAATCCATATGCAAACACGGTGACATATTGGATACAGACAAAACTCTACAGTCGAGAAGCATTTCATGCTTTAAGCAGAAACTCCAAATTTTCCTAGCAAGCCACGCTTTTTATGACGATATCAATGAATTGTTAAATTTTAGATACAATGTAGATTAAATATACTTTTGAAAAAACTGAAATTCCATAATAGTAGGCACTAAATTCTCAGAAATATTACTGCATTGAAATGAAAACATTATTATCAGGTTGTGATTCTATGTATTTATTTTATCATCTTCTATTAGCTAGTTTTTTTGTTATTGTGAAATGTCATTATTTTGATTGACGTTCAGTAACTGTATTAATTCGTAAATTTTCTGTAGTATTGCTTCGAATTAATTTGAAGTAGTAATGAATTTAAGTGTTAAGCAAAGAATTGAAATACTTATGATGATTGGCTATTAAGACAGATCCCGAACTCAGATGGAAGTGTGTAACTTATTTAATGAAAAATATCCAGAAAGATGCATAACGCAGTCAGCAGTAAGTAAAATTGAAAATAAATTTCGAGAAACTGGTACAGTTGAAAATGCACGCGAATCAGGTCGTCTTTCTGTAAATGATGATACAAAACTATATGTTCTACTTGCTTTTGAAGAAAATGTGCACACTTTTGTTCGTAAGGTCAGTCGTGATTTCAATGTCAGTAAAACAACTGTTCACAAAGTATTAAAATTGGAAAAATGGCATCCCTTTAAAATCGAAGTTCTACTGAAATTAAACGAGGATGATCCAGATAACAAAATAGAATTTTGTGAAGCCATGATGGATAACTGTCACCGAGACTGTCTGATGAAGCCACTTTTACATTAAATGGTGGGGTCAACCGTCAGAATTGTAGGTACTGGGCCAAAGGAAACCCCCACTGGATGCGTGAGCATCATACACAATACCCGCAAAAGGTAAATGTATGGGCTGGCATTGTGAGAGACATGATCATTGGACCCTACTTTTTCGACGGTACTTTAGACGGGCCAACATATCTTCAGTTTTTAAGGGGGATATCTTGTCCCTCCTTTAATTAATTTATTCCCCAGTAGAATTATTCCTGGAGGTTTTGATGAAAGTTTATGGTTTCAACAGGATTCAACAGGATGCACATTATGCTGCAGATGTTCGAAGGTATCTCGACCAAATATTTACGAACCGATGGATTGGTAGACGTGGACATATTGAATGGCCAGCGAGGTCGCCAGACTTAAATCCGTTGGATTACTTTATGTGGAGCCATCTGAAGAATGTTGTTTATAAAACGAAACCAGCAAATATTCGAGAATTAAAAGAGAGAATTCGAACAGATATAAACGATATTTCTCAAGAAACCATAAACAAGGTTCAACAAAAATTTATTCAATGTTTAGGTTACTGTCAAATACAGTAAGGACTACAGTTCGAACATTTACAATAAAATCATGTATTTATTAGGTTCGTTCCAACCAGCATCAGAAACAGTTTCTGACAGTCAGGATTCTGCGCAGTAATGTGATTGCGTTCCAATGTGAGGTTCCAACCATTAGTAAACTATCAGTTTTCTGTTCCATCCAAGATTCAAACCTGTTCGAAATCTATCAGAATGGTTTGAGGATTATTTTCTAACCATTAATCTGACGCATGCGTATTCCGTATTACTGTTTCTGTTTTATGTTCATGCAACTTGCAAACAACATAACCTGCAAAAATTGTTATAAAATAAATTATGTATTTGCTGGCGCAGGAAAAATTGGGAATTCTTTAAGTGAACCTATAATATGAACATCTTTAATTACACAAATTAATTATTGCGGTGACCTCCCAGTTCCATGTTGATAAGTAAATAGAATAGAGATATAAAATACTGCAACCTTCTTTTACTCTCCAGAAATACACTTGATTAGATT